ATGAACTCACTGTGGGGCCAGCTCTGTATAATTCTCTTTAGTCCTATTAATTCACTCTATGCTTCAAACCCCTGTAATTGCAGCTTCTGAGGAAATGGTTTCTTAATGTGCCTCTCTCAATGTCTCCACTGTGTTAGCAGTGTGTAAGGTTCTGGGAACAAATCTCTCTGAGGAATAAACTCTGGCCACTGAGCTAGTATGTCCAAACTGTTCTTTATCAAATTATTCAGTTATGTTTGATATTAACTTAATACATGAACCTGTGATACCCATGGACAAATATTAAAACAAAAAACTGCTCCTAAAGCCGAGGCTGTAGAAAGTTCCAAAGGCAAGTTTGCTGGAGCCAGGCTGCCCAAGGAATTAACTCAAAGTAGATTGGTGACTTCCAGGTTTTTGTTTAAAGAACAAAAGGACTGCCATCTTAGATCGCTTCCAGGTGCAGCCCATTCACCTAGGAGCCTCACTTCCTCCTGCAAACCTGGCCCAGGCAACTGACACAGCGGGATTCCTTTCAAATCTTTTCACATTGTTCCCATTGGAGATTAGGTGCTATAGGTATGTTAATTAGCCTGGAGAAACCAAGTTGCTGCCTTGGGATTCAAACCTGAAAAATACCATAATAATTTGCTGGAATTTCTGGAAAATTAAGGATGTTAGATTATCAAGACAATTTGTGATGTATGTTTTAGAATTTGTACCTGTAAGTCATTGTGTCCTGTGTTGAATGATTAATCACATTTCACCTCTGTACCCCTTCTTAATAAATCCCTCCTTCCTTTGTGTAAAGCTTCTCCCCAAAATAAAAAGGAGGTGCAGACCCAAGCCCACATGCATTAAGGCTGGCATGCGAGGTGTTACAGTTGGCAAGGCATGCGTTAAGGTTTGCAGGGCGGTGCTTTACTGCCTGCAGGGGCCACAATATTGGTAGTCCAGGGTCTGCCCACCAGTGTCGCATCCACTCTGTTTTTGGGGTGTCTTCTTGTCTCTCTCTTTGTGTCTTTGTGCATATTCTTTATCTGTCACTGTCGCCGCCAGATCTCCCAACTTCGTGAACCGAACCCCCTTGTCGAGGCCGGCTCTTGACATAGCACCAATTGTGAGAATGGCACAAAACATGGCAATGTTTTGTTCTGTTGTGCAAAGGGTCACTTTGAGTGGAAATCAACTCAACATCACCTAACAACAACAGCAACGCCTCATTTTATAGGGTCTTTGGGGACAGGTCTTGGTGCTCCAACCAGATATTTAGGTTCCTGAGTAGGTGTTGAAGCCGAGGGCCGGAACTATAGTAGAGAACAGAAGCTTGGGAGGTTCTCTGGACCATCTAAGTATCAACACCTTTGGTAATCCTAGTCAAGGGATTGTGAGTACACATACAAGGGGCCACTGAGTGGAAGTGGCAAACCCTAAGAAGGGACGGATTCTCAGGATGGGGAGAAAACATTGAACTAGTGTGAGGACTTTGATATCTCAAGTGAGTAAAGTTTTGCTAAAGGTAATACAGAAATGGCTACAATCATACATTGATGGAGAACTTCCAGAGGTTCAATATGGATTCAGAAGAGGCCGGGGAGCGAGAGATATCATTGCTGATGTCCAGTGGATCTTGGCTGAAAGCAGAGAATATCAGAAAGATGTTTACCTATGCTTTATTGACTACATAAAGGCTTTCGATTGTGTGGATCATGACAAGCTATGGACAGCATTGCGAAGTATGAGTATTCCAGAACACTTAATTGTACTTTTGAGGAATCT